GTTGTTTATTCTGAAATGTAAAGAGATGGAGTTAACTTTCAAATTGAGGGAAGGTTTTTTTAATCGAAGTTGATTAATGCAAAATTAATTGAATTATGATTTTCTTTCATTGCCTTCTATTGGGTCGTAATTCTTATTTTTTTATTTTACTCTCTTCCTTATTCTACTCTGTTTCTGCATAGTTATTGAGACATAGAAAAAAACACTCGTTGACTCTTTCGTTTTAATCAGAATATGCTCTATCTATTACATTTCCTAAGGTGCCCATCACTTGTTTGAGACAAGATGGGAGGAAGGTACTGTCCTAGATAAACAGAATTTAGAATTTATTGGTTATAATGAACATTGTTGATGAATTTTATAGTATTTGATGCTTTCATGGGCTAAGTAATCCAGGTAAAAAATAAAGCAGGGAAAATAGGATTACGTTTTTAAACAGGAACAATGAAGCATCCTGAGAAACAGCAATAGGAATAAATTAATGTCAGACTAATGTAAAGAAGCAAGATATTGGGGTTCCTTGGTGACAATCAGAAGGGGCTTAGCTTTTTCAGACACTGAGTCAATATGGTACATTCTTGTCCTGCTGTGTTCTATTCTGAAGACATCCTTAGTTTGTCTAAGTGTCCTGTTAGTCATTGCCAGTTATGAGCTGGAGGGGAAAATATTAGACTGTGAGTACAGATGGTGGTAAGAATTGCATGGGAACAGAAGATAGCTAGCATGGCATCCTTTCATGAATGCTTAGAGAAGAATAATACTGTTGAATGTTATAGTGGGACAGAGGGGACTTTCCAGTTTGTTTATCGTAATATGAGTTTTCAGTATCACAAACTGGAGATAGGCGGATAAATATTGATGCTGAAAGCAACAGAAAACCCAACCCAATCCAGCTAGAGCACAAAATGTAATTTATTGTCTCATTAACTGGAAAATCCAGGATAAAGCTGAATTCAAGAGCTTAAGCTTGATTATCAAAATGTGGCTCCTTTCATCCCCTTGGCTCTGTCTTTGGCTGTGTTTGTTTCATTTCCAGACTGTGGGAGAACTTGCCCCAATTATCACAATCCCAAATACAGTGGTAGAGGGAATTTCCATTTTTATGCTTAAGGGAAAGTTTCCTAATTGTGTCTTCTGTCTTCTTGGCTTTGATTGACCTGATCTGAATGGCCAACCCTATGATTCTGTTTGAGCCAAGGAACATATTTTAAGTATCTTTGTGTCCTCGGTGATAGATTAGCACAGGGTGTTGCATGACGTATAGGTACACAATATACAAATGTTATATTAAACTGTAAGCTGCTTTTCTGAAAACAACCATTTTGCATTGTAAGAGCTGCTCTAATATAGTCCAGAAGGTAATTCTGAATTTTTTTTTGGAGCAAAATTAGGTGACTTGTTGGAGAGACTGAATATGATTACTAGAATTCAAGAATTTGAGATTTTCTGCCTGTGTGCTATCAGGACTTATCAAAATCTCACAGTAGAATTCAGGAAATAAGAAGCAAGAAATTAAATTACATATCATCTTAGCATGATAAGAGATCTATTAAGAGATTAGGGAAGAAAGTTTTAATTTCTTTTGAATCATACAAAACAAAAGTGAGAGGTGCGAAGAGAACATGGATGATAGCTGGAAATGAGAGGACTTGAATATTGGAATATCATCCCATTAGAGAAGAAGAATGATGTCAGTGAAGCAATTATTCTTTCACAATTGCAACAGAATACAAATTATGCATATCATGATCTTAAAACATACGTTTGAAATTCATTTTATAGAGAAGTTTAAAAATAAGTGGTCTGACGGGGCATGAAAAAATTGTGTTAAATCTAATAAGAGAAAAAAAATGACCTAAAATAGATTTAAGACTTATGCACTGCATCATTTATTACTAATGCCTTGTCTTCTGAGTTTTATTTTTAAAAAATGGAATTCCAAAGATTAGATTTTTAGTATGATAGAGGGAAGTGTACCAAGCTACTCTAAAAAATAAACTATTCAGCATTTGTGTAATTATGCATGTCTTGTAATGGGAACTTCATTTTCAAAGCTTTTTTTAATCTTTAAATTCTATTGAATGCCAATTTTGCCCCAACAACTTTTCATACAGTGTGAAAAGATGAAAGCAAAGGAGATGCAATTATCAATGATGTCACAGAATTTGAGACATTTCCAATCATGCCTGTGTGCTCATTTTGCATAATCTCAAAACTCACTGATGTGGACCAATTTCAAATGAATTTATTGACTTAAACACAGGATCTTGGAGCTCTAATTGCCTGGGAAACTGTAAGAATTCAGCATTTGAGCTATTGGTCCTGACATAAAAAGATGCTGTTAAATATTTAAAGTAGTCAAGAAAACTGTAGTGTCATTTAAATAAACGTAATGTTTATTAGAATAATAAAGTGAAACTTTTAGGAGATTCAAAATTATGCATTCTTATGGGAGTTTTGGTTATTGTGCATGAGCTTGAAATATCTGAATGCTTGGAAATGTAGCATAAATGATCTATCATATTATTCAAGGTGGTGGTGTGTGATTTGTTGAAATAAAATGTAAATGGCAGTATGGTGTGGTTATTGGGTAGAGAGTTTGGAGTTAGCCTTCAAAGCCTACATAGCCACTTAACTGAATAATATTGCATATGTTAACTAACCCATCTCTGCTTTAGTTTTCTCAGCTATAAAATGGTACTAATGCTATGCTCACCTTCTTCATAGAGATATTGTAAGGATTAAATGTGTTAATGTACATAAAGTACCTTAAAACAGTGCTATATAAGCATTTGCTGTTATGATCACTCTGTAAAAGGCATTACAGCTTTTATTCAGAATGCACAAAATCTTAAAATGCGATATCAGAATATGAAAAAACATATGAGGAAGTTTGCACATATAGCATTGAAAAAGTTCAGTAGTTAACTCGTAACTACAAATGTGACCTTTTGTATGTTCACTCCAGGACACACTTCTAACACTATTCCTCACACTCTAGGACAGTAATTCTCAAAGTGTATTATACCAAGGATCAGTTGCATCAGAATTAATAGGGCTACTTGTTTTAAATGCATATTCCTGGGCCTCACTCTAGACTCACCAGATCAGAATTTTTGAGAGTGAGAATTTGCATTTTAACAAATGCCTGAGGTGATCTTTATGCAGGACAGATTTTGAGAACTGTTCTTACTTGTTTGTGATTCCCTCTACTCATGCTGTAATCTCACTTTCACTCTGTCTCACATTGCACTTCAGATGTCTTATTTCTCTCAGTTCACGGTTCTATCACATCTCCCGTTCAAGGACTTTAGATTTTTCTTTCAAAATCACAGTACACCATAGTTGATATCTTTTTCTTTCACATCCAAAGCCTAGGTTGCCACCTTCTTTCTCCCTCTTCATTTTGTACTCTCTTCATTGTACTTTGTTCATTTCCTTCCCACTATTTGTCCTAAGTGGGGTGGGGTGTAAAATCATTCTGGCTTTGGGATTCCATAAAAAGACCTTCACTTGGCTTTGGTTTAGCTCAGAACTGCTCCCACTTTCCTGTCTCACAAATGCTTTGCTTTTTTCCCTTCCCTTTCTCTCATCTTTTTCATTTCCTTTCTTTCCATGAACATTACTGGATTAGAAGACAGGGAAGAGTTTGCAGCTGGTCAAGGAAAACTATTTTATTTCTTCTTCAGATTTCATTAGTCTTCTGGCAGGTTTGCCTGGAGAGAAGGGACAGGTACAAAAGAAGTCCCAATCCTTCAGCATCTCTGTCCCTGTTAGCTTATATCCCTTTCCTGGACTCCATTTGAACTCAGCATCCCTGTCTGGGTTTTGCAGTCAGAAGTGTGTGAGACATCATTGAGCAGTCTCAGACTGCATTATCCGTATATACTTAACTGAGAACGTTGCATTTAAATCCTAAAATATATCAGGAACTCATGTATTTGGTGTGTCTAAATATAAAGCCACGTGTAGCCAAGTGGAAACATCACAAACAAGAAAATTTTATTACTTCTTGGCCAAGGTAAAGATTAATAGGAAGCATTTTGGCTCATAGAATATGTAATGCAGCTCTTTAAAACACGTGAACTTTTTATGTTCGTGTGACTGATCACATAGATCCATTGGAATCTTAATGATCCATGAGGGAAATTGTTCACATTTTTAGAGGTACATCTACATTACAAAACAGCAGCATTTTCAGGAGACCACTGCACTGTTGTGCTTTTGAAAGCTCTTGAATCCCAGAGTGCTGAAAGTAGGAACAATATTGATGACTCATACATATACATATCGTAGTAAAAAAAAAAAAGGTATCATGAAAAAAAGGAAATATACACTTTGATAAACTTGCTTATTTTAAAGCAACATGAACATTTTCTTAGATGTGGTCTTAGTATTTTAGCTAGTAAAATGAAAGAAATTTAAGTCCTGGAAATTTATGCCTTCTTTGAGAGGATTAGAATTTCCTTGCAATGACTAAGAAGTAAAAAAAATTCTCAAAGGAGACAAATTTAAGGAAAAAGTAAACACCAACCAAGAAATCAATTTGTTGCTAGAAATGTAGCTTCAACTGTTTCAGTTTTGGCTGGTATTTCATAGTTTTATTTGTATAAATATGGTCTTTAATTAAATTTCCATGTTGCTGCTTAGGTTTTTCTTAAAGTGTGGATGTCAATAAATTTTTTACATGAACTAAATTTAATAAGTAAGTTTAACTTATAACTATTATCTTGGTATAGAAGCTAAAAAGCAAAAAGTATTTCTGAATGGTAGAAAAAGAACCATAAGAGTACAATCGTGATTTTTTTAACTTCTGTCATCACACATCTGAGTTTGATGGCTTAGTAGTTGATATATTTATGTCTTAATTGTTTGCTGTCTAACTTTTCATACTGTGTTTATGTCTATAAACATCACAATCTAATGAAAATAGATTAGATATATTTTGTGAATTTTATACATATATACATTTTGTTTTGTTTTGTTTTGTTTTGTTTTAGGGATGCCCTCTGCATCTTTATTAGTAAATCTTCTTTCAGCTTTACTCATCCTGTTTGTGTTTGGAGAAACAGAAATAAGATTTACTGGACAAACTGAATTTGTTGTTAATGAAACAAGTACAACAGTTATTCGTCTTATCATTGAAAGGATAGGAGAGCCAGCAAATGTTACTGCAATTGTATCGGTAAGAAATTATTATAGTTCTATTTTTACTGAAATAGATATGAAATTTCTTAGTTTTAATGGCAAGGAATTTTTTTTTTTTCCGTTTGAGATTTTGAGCAGTTTCATTATGGTAAATGATAGATGATTTGCACATAACACTATTCCATTTTTATCTCTTATAGGTTTATAGAGTGCTCCAACATAACCATGTGCATTTGACAGTACTATTTTTAAAGATATAGACTGATCATTTTATAGTGTTCATATATTTATTTTAGAACAAGAACTTTTCATTTTGGGTAATTTGGATTGTAGTTATCTCTGCTCAGATATACTATCTATTGTAAGGTGGTGTAGAGAAAATATATGGAATATTTAAAAGTAGAAAACTGACAATAGTAAAAAAAACTTTAGTTATGTCTGAGAACTCTTTTAGTGGGAAAAATTAAGAATATTAACTTAAGTGAATGTTAGGTACAATTTGTTAAACTGTAGATCTACCTTGCACACAGTTTAGTTACTGGGTGGATTGTGTGTGCGTGAGTGTGTATCTACTTTTAACCAGAAAGTTATGTTATATGACCACTAAGAACATTGCTATATTTGAGTCTCAAAGTACTTAAACATTTTGTTTGTAAAAATAAAATTTTAAGTAGTAGGTTTAATAATCACATTATGAAATATTATAAAAAGAGAAGATGCAGAAAAATGACCTATGAACCAATCCAATGCTATAATTTTAGTTATTTGTGACATACAGCTATATAGAGAAATTATTTTTAGAGTATGCATTATATTAGATAATCTTTTTCACATAATTTTCATTGAATCTTAACAATTTTTTTCAGATTCCTTTATCATTTTCACAACTTTTCTTGATGGTGTTGTAATTACTTCCTTATCATTCTTCCTTTTCATTGAGGTTGCTTCTAATTTTTACTACTATGAATGTTATTCTGGTGAATATATATATGTGTATATATTTTGATTTTTACTTATTTTGAATTGTTAATTATTTGATTAATTTGCATTTGATTAATGAAATTGATGAAATGATTTTCATAGGCTGAATTACTGTGCTTTTCTGTTTGTTTCAGTGGCTCTTGATAATTCTTTCTTAAAGTTTGTGTCATTTTCTATAGTAAGGTATATTTCCAACACCCTTGACAACTTACTTGGATTTCTCAACTATTTAAAACTTATTTTTATGTATGAGAACTAGGAATTGACTAAAATTTCCCTGTACATGTTTTTTATTGGTACTAAATCAAATATTTTTTCTAGTAGTTAAATTACTCATTTTGTGCTGTTTGGTGAAAGAGATCGCATGTTGATCTGCACAAGGTCATGCAGAATCTTACTAATAATGTGGAGACTCTTACTAGTCATGCTGATTTTACAGAATAAGATCTTAAAAAGTTAAGGAGAAGTTTATGATGACTAAAACATTTGAAATGCTAAAAGAATTAGATCTTTATTGGAGATGTGGGAGAATATGAGTACAACTTTAGGTTGAGTTTGGGAAAGAGCAGTTTCTTTGAAACAGATAGGGAAATAATTGATTTTCCTGACACATTTTTTGTCAGGCCACATACACCTCTTTCTTTTCCTTCTCTCTTTTTTGTCGATATATAATTGTTGTACATATTTTGGGGGGTATATGTGATATTTTAATATTTGTATACAATGTGTAATGATCAAATTAGGGGAATTGGGATATCCCTCACTTCAAACATTAATTTTTTCTTTGTGTTGGAAGCATTACAATTCCCCTCTTCTATCTATTTTGATATATTAAATTATTTGATACAATAAATTAATGTTAACTATAATTTTCCTACTGTACTATCGAATATTGGAACCCATTCCTTCTGTTTTTGACTCCTTAACCAACTTCTATTTGTTGTCCTCTTCCCTTCTCAGCCTCTGGTAACCACCATTCTACTCTCTACCTCCATCAGATCCACATTTTTAGCTGGATGAGAATGTGTGGATGAGAAGATGCAATATCTATCTTTCAGCGCCTGGCTTATTTCACTTAACATAATGACCTCTTTTTACATTCATGTTGCTGCAAATGAAAGGATTTCGTTCTTTTTGATGGCTGAATAATATTCTGTTGTGTTGCTTTGCATATATACAACATTTTTTTTAGAATTTTAGTTATAATTTGTCTTCTTGTTAGGTTTGCTGTAGTCTACTCCAGATCAATCAAGAGCAGAGAAAAAAAATCACATAATTGCTTTCCTATATAATTATTATTTTTCTGTGTAACATTTGTTTTCATTTCACAACATGAACAAATGATTTTGTTTAGAATCATTTCTTTTTTCTTTTTTTTTTTTGAGGCGAAGTCTTGCTCTGTTGCCCAGGCTGGAGTACAGTGGTGCGATCTCAACTCATTGCAACCTCTGCCTCCCGGGTTCAAGCGATTCTCCTGCCTCCGGAGTAGCTGGGACTACAGACGCACACCACCACGCCCAGCTAATTTTTGTATTTTTATTAGAGACGGGGTTTTACCATATTGGCTAGGCTGGTCTCAAACTCTTGACCTTGTGATCCGCCCACCTTGGCCTCCCAAAGTGCTGGGATTACAGTAGTGAGCCACTGAGCCTGGCCTAGAATCATTTGTTTATTTCTGAAGATAAGTTTTTTCAGTTGTTAAATATTTATGATTTTTGTTTTTGTACACTCTGTTGATAAATATAAAAGTCACTTGATTTATGCTTTTTCTCTTGATTGCTGTAATTAACATCAGTTTTACTTGTCCTAATACTGTGTTAAGTAAGAATGATCTATATTTTGCATTTCATAGCTGTATGGAGAGGACAGTGGTGACTTTTTTGATACATATGCTGCAGCTTTTATACCTGCTGGAGAAACAAACAGAACAGTGTACATAGCAGTATGTGATGATGACTTACCAGAGCCTGATGAAACTTTTATTTTTCACTTAACATTACAGGTAAGTCCATGTTTCCTCCTTATAGAAATTATAAGGAGGACTTATAAAACTTGTAAAAATCTTTTAGTGCTTAACAACGTATCTATCTAGAGATGAGCCAATTCAGATAACTGGTGGTGGTATTCGTAGAATCCAGAACTGACAACCTCTTCAGCATTTCCATAATCTGGTTATTCCTTGATCTTGTTCAGAAATTCCACAGCTAATTTTTGAATCCATTCACCTTACTCGGGAATTGCCGTGACACTTGCTCCAGAAAACTTTGCCTTCCCTTTGGCCTTTTTTTCTTTTATTCCTCGCCTGCTACCAGATATGCAAAGAATGACTGTGACTTCTGAGTTCAAAGGACAAGGATACAAAAAGCAGGCATGGAAGTGGGAGGTCCCTGTGACTTAAATTCAGAGTACCGCTGGGGAAAAAAACTTGAGTAGTCTTAGGTTTAATTGAACTTTATGGCTTCATCTATTAGGTTGAGACAATGACTCGCTAACAACATTCTGGTGGTTTTTTCTAAAGAGCATTAAGAATTTTTTTTTTTTAATAATTGTGTCACTACCATTAAAATATTTGTGAAAATGACACTTGAAACAGTTATGTTTTTCTCTTTTAAGTCATTCTTTAAAAAATATACTTTTGTGCTGCTCTTGAACATCTGTGCAAATGTTACAGAAAACTCTGCATTTTATAAACATAGTTTTAATGTTTTATCATCAATTTGGTTCTGTGATTCATAGAATAACTAATTCTAAAGTTCCAGTACCTTCAATAGCATGAGAAAAATTACATTGAATTTTGTACTGTGTGTGTACTTAATTCTGTTATATTAGTGACAGCATAGTAATTATAACTAATTTATAATATAGTATTACTAGCCAGTGATGATTTATAATTATACTATCATATATTATTAAGAGTGTGACTTATGCTTTTCAAAACTTTTTTGAAAATTTTTCATTTGGAACTTCTTAACCATATTGATGTAATTGGAATGTTTACTTAATCTGTACATTAAGATTACATATGTATTTTTATTATATTCTGAATAACTACTTGAAGACAAATTCTGCAAAAATAAATATTTAATTTATTATTTTATTTTTAATTCATTATTTTATTTTTGGGATTTTATTTTAGAAACCTTCAGCAAATGTGAAGCTCGGATGGCCAAGGACTGTTACTGTGACAATATTATCAAATGACAATGCATTTGGAATTATTTCATTTAATATGGTATGGACACAATTTGATGATACTTGTGGTTGCTAGATAATAGTTTATTAAATTTTAAAAATTAGTTTTCGTGATGTTAGCAGTATCATGCTGTCTTTTGATATTTAAATAAAATTTGCTTTAACTTTATCTCTGTTTCACATTCTGTAGACCATTCATTTGTTCTACCCAAGATGTCTGTGAATTGAGGAGGCTTGTATGATCGTGGTCATCTGTTGTCCTAATCTCTTTTTGCTGATTGTTCCACCTGACTCCTTTGTTTCCACTTTTGTCTTTAATTCAGATATACCACCCATTGCTTTTGCCTGATTTCCCCAAATGTCACCTAAATAAAGTGTTGATTGTTTGTCAGACTCTTCTGAAAGTTTGGAGTTAATGGGAGATGAGAAAGCATATTGAAATAATACTTTTCAAAAAACTTACTATGAACTTAAATTGAATAGCAGGTGTTACATCTCTTTAAAATTCTGTAGTCATCCCAACTCTTAAGATTTTCCCATTAATTGATATTTTCTGAAGGTTGAAACTTCATTTCATCCCACTCACTTTTGCTCAATAGTTTATTTTCTGTTCCTTAACTAAATTCCTGTGGCTCTGGCCAATCCTATGATCAGAGGGTTTTATGCTTGGAAACAAATACACAAGATAGGGCCCTTCTTTGGATAAATTGTTTCTAGCTCTTAAAATAAAACCAAGTTTATCTCCAATACAATTGAATTTGGCCACTAAATTTTAGACTCCAGTAACATTCCTGACTTGGAGTCTCTTTGAATCACATTACTAATTATAATTAATAAAACACGTTACAGTACTTCCCAGCTTTTCATTTATTTTTAGATTGCTACTACAATTGGTTGTATTGTATGTCATTTTCTTGGTACCTTAACTTATCTTTGAAACAAGTGGGCTATAGGTAAATATGATCTTTATAATGCAGTATCTTCATTAAAAAGTGTATTTGACCAACCTCAGTTTAGTAGAAATTCGGTAACCTCCATTATACTGTCATTTACAAACATTAAGTTAATTAATCAACCATCTCTTATTTGAATGATAAGGAATTATTAATGATGAAGCAGGCTCCCTTAATTGCTTAATTTCTCTCCATATGGCTTTCCTGCTACACTAACTCCCTGTGTATCACCTCTGACCTCATACTGATTTGTTTAAAGGTTTATTTTGTTGTTGTTGTTGACATTATACATCTTAGCCTCTGGGAAATGAATCCTAGTTTCTGGCATGAGTCCCAGGTCCCTGACTGGTGGGGGTCTCAGTGCTGCCAGGCAGCCTTTGACATCCTTAAAATTAAACTAAATAACCATTGAGCTCACAGTGGTGCTCAATAGGCTGGCTTTGGTTTCCACCCTGAGGATGATTATGTTGGTAGTGAAGATGACATTGATGATGATGATAATAATAGCAACATTTACTGAACCCTCAGTATATGTCAGGTAGCAACATTTACAGAAGCCTTAGTATAAGCACTTGATGTGAACTATTGCATTGAAACCTTATCACAACCCTTCAAGATGGGCATTCCTAACTCCAGTTATGGATGGAGCTACTGAGTTTTGCTGTCACCCGGAGAGTTGGCCACTGCTTCTGTAACCTGTGTGCACTTGGCTGCGTCTGTATTCCTCCTCTCCCACCTTGAATTTCCACCAGCCAAATCAGAATATTTCTTCTGAAGTCCTCGCTTTCACCTCCAGCAGAGGTCCTGTCCTGAAAGTTGTTAGCAGTGTCTGCTTTTCACTAACAAGCTGGCTGATGTGGAGAAAGAGGGGTTGTGGGCAAGGCTAAGTGGTGGTCCCAGTGACCTGCTGCCTTGGTCTGGAGGCTTAACTCATGTCTGTCACCTCCTGGGCCTCTGTGAGCATTTGAGTTTGTCACCTTTCAACTAAAAAACCTTTAAATTCCTCAGCAGGACAGCTACTTGATGGTAGAACCAGGACAAGAAACTGCATCTTTTGCTTGACTAGTTTTTATGTTCCCTTTACTCTATTATTTTTAACTTTTTCAGCATTTTAAAGCTGTAGTTCATTGAGGCTAGGAAATATCACATTCTTATATACAGTGTGGATTGATTTGTCTGTGGAAATCGAGCGTTTCTGAGGTAATAGTTTTTACCGCCTCATACCTCTGATTGCTCAGCTCCTCATCATCTGTGCTTCTCTCCTCAATAGCTTCCCTCAGTCACAGTGAGTGAGCCCAGGGGCAGAAACGAGTCCGTGCCTCTTACTCTCATCAGGGAAAAGGGAACCTATGGAATGGTCATGGTGACTTTTGAGGTAAGTTTACTCCGAAGTAATTTTATTTTAGTTACTTTTATTTTTATTTTTGAGACAGAGTCTTGCCCTGTTGCCCAGGCTGGAGTGCAGTGGCATGATCTCAGCTCAGTGCAACCTCTGCTCCCTGGGTTCAAGTGATTCTCCTGCTTCAGTCTCCCCAGTAGCTGGGATTACAGGCACGCTCCACCATGCCTAGCTAAGTTTTGTATTTGTAGTAGAGACAGGGTGTCACCATGTTGGCCAGGCCGTTTTTGAACTCCTGGCCTCAGGTGATCCGCCTGCCTAGGCCTCCAAAGTGCTGGGATTACAGGCGTGGTCACTGCACCCGGCCCTGAAATCACTTAAATGCGAACACTGGAGTTCATACCAGGTGGCTACAGTTTTGAAAATCAAAGTTCCTTGTATAATAAACACGACACAATACAATTAAAATAAAGATGAATACTTTTCTGATCTGATACATTTCATGATTAATATAAAAATGTTTTCCTTGCTGCTTGTGTATACAATGCTTACATGAAATACAAGCTAACATTTTAGTTATGTGGGAAAAATAAATCATAAGATAGAATAATAATGTTAATTCTATAAATTTCATAAAACTTTTATGATAAATGTTTTCAAAAATAGGAAATTTTAAAATACCCATGGATTACTTAGGTTTATGTAAAATTATTTAATATGTTGTCTTTCTCCATTTTATTTTTATTTTAGTTTTTTTTTTTTTTGAGAGAGGATCTTACTCTGATGCCCCGGCTGGAGTGCAGTGGCACAGTCATGGCTCACTGCAGCCTCAACCTCCTGAGCTCATGCAGTTCTCCTGCATCAGCCTTCTGAATAGCTGGGAATACAGGTGTGCATCACCATGCCCAGCTAAGTTTTAATGTTTTTTGTAGAGATGAAGTTGCATTATGTTGCCCAGGCTGGTCTCGAACTCCTGAGCACAAATGATCCTCCCTCTTCAGCCTCCCAAAGAGCTGGGATTACAGTCATGACCCACCATGCCTTTCCCCTACCCCCCATTTTTTTCAGTACACCAAATGGATGGTGTTTATTGCCATTGCACTCCACCATGGGAATCCATAAATGTTACAGGATGTGGCATGAATATGATAAGCTGTGGGTGACGTGTATTTTTCAGGTACTAGCTCTAATCATGTGATTTGATTGCTTACTGACCATGTGCCAATCATTGTGTCACCACATTGCTGTTCCGTGAGATACACATTTAAATCTCCAACTAATTTTTGTGTTTTCTGTGTTTTTTAGAATCCGCAACATGATCATACACTATTTTCAAACATTAGAGTGGTAGCAATTTCAGACACCAGTTTCTTTCCTAATTATCAATTGTAATATCAATAAAATGGAAACTTATATTTATGTAACACAATTCTATGCAAGCATAGAATAGTTTTGTTCATGCTTGTGGGTGTCCACATCATATGGTAGTTATGTTAACTACACAGAACATAGAACAGCAGAAGGCAATAATGCATGAAAAACATAGTAAACACTAACTAAATATGCAGTAGTCTTGCAAGTTCTACACTGGAAGTCATACACAATTTTTCAGGTACTTAGGAATATGCATTTAGACAATAAATTTTTGAAAGTTTTTCTGATAAATATTGGAAAAATTAGAAAATAATTGGCTGTAGAAAGAATAAATCATCCAGGTTAGAGTGTTTTCAACTTATCTATGGATGTCTAAAGTTATTTTATCAGATTTGTAGCCTGTTTTCTGTTTAAATAATTATAAGTAACATTTTTGGAGTGCTTAATATTGCCATATATTGTTGTAAGTGCTTTATATTGATTATAACTGCATACAGATAGCACCCCTCCCTGGCACTCGATCTCTCTCATACTATTCTTAATTTTTTCTCTATGATACTTATTATCATATAACACACACCCATTCATTTATTTATCATTTATTCCCTTCCTTTAAATGTCAGGTCTATATGGTGCGGAGTTAGCGCTGTTCACTGCTAAATCTTTAGTACCTAGAAGAGATGCGGCATGGAGTACTCAACAAATGCTTTTTTTAATGAATGATTTTATTCATTCTTCACATCTTCACATCCAGCTTGTGAAGTGGAAAATATTGGCATTTGATTCTGTTACTTGAGGGAATTTACTAATCTTGAATACCCTTTCTTCCAAAAAGAAATATTTATAGAGTATTTCTCCCCTCAGGTTTAACGTAATGCTTGAGAAAAAGCAGCTCATAGAAACCACGTACTTTAATGCAGTTATAGTCAATATCTATAATTACGTTATAGGACCTATTAATTTGAAGGGCAGAATGATGTAATTCTTTCAGAACATCTTTAAACTTCAGATTTTTGTCAGCTGACATCACAATGATGCTTTCTCAATCTCGAGAAGTATTTTGTATTTATTGACGGCATTGTGTGTTTCTTTTCAGGTAGAGGGTGGCCCAAATTCCCCTGATGAAGATTTGAGTCCAGTTAAAGGAAATATCACCTTTCCCCCTGGCAGAGCAACAGTAATTTATAACTTGACAGTACTCGACGATGAGGTTGGCTAATGTTACATACCCAAATGGGACAAAGACCGTGTGTTGCAGGACACAGTCCTATATAAACTTAGTGTATTGTGGCCAGTCATACCTCAGCTATAAATAGCTGACTATTTTGGAATACATGTTATTATTATTTATCTTACTTAATTCACATTAAATTGTACATCTAAAAGCTGATGAATTTGAATATAACTAGCAACCATACATAATACAAACATTTAAGCATTTTGGATATCCTGATAATCTATTTGTGTTCGTGCTTTCAATTTTGAGCAAGAACAGTACTAACCTGGAATAAATATTTTACCACAAAAGCAAAGAAAAATTCTACTTAAGTTGATATTCTTTTGTTTGGATATTTTTAATGTTCACATTTACGGGAAGGTTTTTATTATTTTCATATTTCACATTGAGACTACCAAGGATAGAGATACATGATACAGCTAGCTTAACTGCTAAGAAAAGAATGAATCTGAGCAATAATGTGCGAGGATGTCCCCCACATGAGCTAAACAAGAGAAAACATGACTTTTTAGAAAAGAAACTAAATTTTGCCAGAAAAGAAAACAAAAAGAAAATAGCTGGGAGTTTGTAACCCTCCTTCTGCCCTCCTACAAATATTCCGAAACTAAATCACAAGAAACCTCAAGAGAAGGAAAAAAAATGTATTAGAGTATTAGAAGACATTATGAGAAAAGAGTTCTTCTCTTGAAAAAAATAAAATATTTGGAAGCATTGATATCTCTAGTTCCTGTGGTTCTGGAAGCAAGCAAAAAAAACCTTTTGTTTTAAGATCTCAGAGCATTGAATGGGCTATAATTTGGGGAGATGATTAATTATACATTTTGATTGTAAATTTGAAAGATCAATCAAATCATAACATTTTATTTTTAAGATAAATAGCTTTGCTTTTTGTATTGCTACTGATGGAGGTAAAAGTATGCATTTTTTTCTTCACTTTTATTTCTAAAATAGAGTTTGTGGTGAATGAGAAGCTCACACAGCACTGCGGAGATTAACCCCAAGATTTCTCTGCAGGAGCATAAAAAAAAAGGAAAAAAAAAAAGAAACAAAAAAGCAAAAATTGCACTTTAACAGTGTCAGCATTTTTCCTAGTAGTGACTCTTACAGCTTTTTCTCCAGAGAGGCATGATGTGTATCTCGAAAAGCATATATTGGTGTCACATGTTTAACTCCTGAATTAACAACCATTTGGAGAAAAGCAAGAATAATTCACAAGGAAAACTAACAATTTTTATGTAATGTTTAACGTACTTTCCAGATTCTTAGGTATTATTAGATTTTCAGTACTACTTCTGACCCTACCAAACTGATAAAACTGATAGAAATGTATGACAGTTTTTTACTGTTTAATCTTTGGAGTTATCCAAGGACCAGTTAAGGTTGAAAGACATTATACTTATACTTCATTAGTTGTACTGTTGCTTCATTAGTTTTCTTTTCCTGTCTAAAATACGTTATTTACCTGTGGAAAATATTTTATTAATTGGAGACTAAACAAGCCTTTCTATTTGCTCCCTCAGTTAGAGAATTTTTATTTCTATGTGATTGTATTGAAACATAATGACTTGTTACACTTTAGTTTCTTTCCAGGTGTTTTGGCTGTTGATGTTTTGCCTCTGTTTATATTCCTTTAACAGGTACCAGAAAATGATGAAGTATTTTTAGTTCAACTGAAAAGTGTAGAAGGAGGAGCTGAGATAAACACCTCTAGAAATTCAGTTGAAATCATCATTAAGAAAAATGATAGTCCCGTGAGATTCCTTCAGAGTATTTATTTGGTTCCTGAGGAAGACCACATACTCGTAATTCCAGTAGTTCGTGGAAAGGACAACAATGGAAATCTGATTGGATCTGATGAATATGAGGTTTCAATCAGTTATGCTATCGCAACTGGGAATTCCACAGCACATGCCCAGCAAAATCTGGACTTCATTGATCTTCAGCCAAACACAACTGTTGTTTTTCCACCTTTTATTCATGAATCTCACTTGAAATTTCAAATAGTTGATGACATCATACCAGAGATTGCTGAATCGTTTCACATTATGTTACTAAAAGATACCTTACAGGGAGATGCTGTGCTAATAAGCCCTTCTGTTGTACAAGTCACCATTAAGCCAAATGATAAACCTTATGGAGTCCTTTCACTCAACAGTGTTTTGTTTGAAAGGATAGTTATAATTGATGAAGATAGAATATCAAGGTATGATTTATTTTAAATATATTGCTACCATTATTTTAATATATTATCCAAGATTTAAGTTTTGTGATGTTGGACACAACAACGAACTGTTAGAATATGTGTCATTTTTTCTACCATGGCTTCATTGTTTTCTTTCTTGTTTGGAGTGTGATTTAATTATGCAAATGATTTATAGTATAGTAGTTCCCTAGGACGCATTCACATATCTACACCTTCATATTAAAAATGTTTTTTTCCACCAGGCCTGGTGACTCACTCCTGTAATCCCAGCACTTTGGCAGGCTTAGGGGGAGGATTATCTTAGGCCAGAAGTTCGAGACCAGCCTGGGCAACAAAGTGAGACCCCCCCGCCCACAAAAAATAAAATAAAATAAAATAAAACAAAATGAAAAGATTAGCTGAGTGTGGTGGTGTCCACCTGAAGTCCCAGATACGTGGGAGGCTAATGCAGGAGGATTGCCTGAGTCCATGAGGTTGAGGTTGTAAGCTCTGATCACACCATTGCACTTCAGCTTGGGCAACAGAGTATGACCCAGTCTCAAACAAAAAACAAATCAGTTGTTCTTTTGTTACATAGATTCTGTTTTTATCAGTGTCTAATGGACAACTTGACATTGGGAAGGCTAATCTAAGGGAAATAAAGTGTACTATGTGACCATATGTATTTCTTTTAAAACATTTAAGATTTGAAGAAATCACAGTGGTTAGAAATGGCGGTACCCATGGGAACGTCTCTGTGAATTGGGTGTTGACACGGAACAGCAGTGATCCCTCACCAGTAACAGCAGATATCACACCAAGCTCTGGAGTTCTCCATTTTGCACAAGGGCAGATGTTGGCAACAGTTCCTCTTACTGTAGTTGATGATGATTTTCCAGAAGAGGCAGAAGCTTATCTACTTCAAATTCTGCCTCACACAATCCTAGGAGGTGCAGAAGTGAGCGAGCCAGCAGAGGTATAACTCTTGTTACGCTTTACGCTTGTTAATATTTCTGTGCTGTAGAAGAACCAAAGAATTTGATCATACACATCAACTTTATGTTTAGTTTGAAGGGACAGGAAAAACACTGGCTTTGGAAAGATAGTTTTCTTGTTCAGTATTCCTTCTGAAAATAAATATTTTACTCTCTAAAAACTTCCACAAACTGATTTAGGAACATTTCCAAATCTGTTTTTGGTTCATGTTTTACTCTATTATGTGTAGGAAGTCATCATTTTTAGACATGAAATATCAATATTCAAATTAGAATAACATGGAAAATACAGAATTTGATAATCTCAGATGTGAGAATTCTATACTTTAATATTTTATTCCTTTATCTGCAGCTTTTGTTCTACATTCAGGATAGTGATGATGTCTATGGCCTAATAACATTTTTTCCTATGGAAAACCAGAAGATTGAAAGCAGCCCAGGTGAACGACACTTATCCTTGAGTTTTACAAGACTAGGAGGGACTAAAGGAGATGTGAGGCTGCTTTATTCTGTACTTTACATTCCTGCTGGAGCTGTGGACCCCTTGCAAGCAAAAGATGGCATCTTAAATATATCGAGGAGAAATGACCTCACTTTTCCAGAGCAAAAAACTCAAGTCACTACAAAATTACCAATAAGAAATGATGCATTCCTTCAAAATGGAGCTCACTTTCTAGTACAGGTACTTTTAGTATTAAAATAATCATAATTTTGGTTAACCCTCAAGTGTACTAATCTGTGTGAAAGAATTAACTAAAATTATTTTGACTTTGTTATTTTGCTGTCATTTTTATTTTGTTACTAAAAGTTATTTAGGTAGTTGGAAGAGAGATGATGCCTGCTCCTGAGGTGTATAAGGATAAATAAGACAAGAATTTTTACCAAAGTTAATATTTTAATTACGTGACATTAAAAGTACACCAGACGTGAAATGCCAGTCATGCAAGTCAGACTGTCATGGATAACATAGTAGAGTAACTTACAAACTATTACAGGGGAGGGCAAGAGAAAGAGAGGCTAACTATGCTTTGAATTGATTTGGGAAAATATGACATAGGAATAGGATTTGTAGGATAAGTGTGTTTTCATAATGAATATTACAAGGAAAATATTTCAGAAATAAAGCAATATGAGAATTTATTTTTCTTTTTTTTGAGACAGAGTCTCACTCTGTCACCTAGGCTGGAGTGCAGTAGCACGATCTTAGTTCACTGCAACCTCCACGTCCTAGGTTCAAGCGATTTTCCTGCCTTAGCCTCCCGAGTAGCTGGGATTACAGGTGGCTGCCACCACACTCAGCTGACTAATTTTTGTGTTTTTAGTACAGATGAGGTTTTGCCATGTTGTCCAGGCTGGTCTTGAACTCCTGACCTCAGATAATCCACCCGCCTGGGCCTCCTAAAGTGCTGGGATTATAGGTGTAAGCCACCGCTCCTGGCCCAAGAAAAATTTTATAAATACTTTTAAATAATATACTAAAAAATCAATTTCTTTGTCTAGGTAGAATCTCTGTACCTTCAACTGTTTAGTAAAGTCCCCATAACATATCCTTCCATTTTACATATTTCATTTCTTCTGCTAACCAAAATATTATTTTTATGGCCAAAGTGCAAAATATCTGCACTCATTTATGATACTGTTGTTGTTTTCCATGTGTCGATTGCTTGACACTTAAATTCCAAAATCAATAAAGAGTGCTTATTAAATTATGTAAACCAATTAAATACAGAATCAGGTAGTGTGAATGGACTGACAAGGAAAGAGCTAAAATCTTATGTTGCCATACATTTTGCCAACTGAAGTATATAGCAAATGAAATATTCTATTTCACTAATTTCTTTGAATCTTACCACATTTAAGTATGTTTCATATTTTGTCTAGATTTTCTTTTATGATGGATTTATTATTCTTTTCTCTGGAGTTTCTGATTGTCCCTTTTCTATATGTTATCTTCACTATATTTTTGAGACCTTGCTGCTGTCTTCCTGTGCGTGTTGAATGTTGAGTTTAGCTAAACTAACTGCTTTCTATGCTAGTTTTACATCTATTGTCTGGGATGTTTTTTACTGAACTCCTGAATTTTCTTAATCTCTTGCCTTTTCCTTCTGGGATTATGTTGTAGTTTTATTGTACTATATCTACCCTCAAACACATGTGTTGAAATTATATATGTAAAGTAAACTTTTTGAGTCTTTGAGCACCTGAAATGTGAAATTTTATACTCATATTGATAGTTTGGCTTAGTAGAAATTTCTAGATTAAAATAATTTCTTCTTCAGAACTTGAAAGGAATTGTTGTTAAGCTTCCAGAGTTGCAGATGAGAAATTTGAAGGGAAGGAAATGATTTATCTTTTAGATAACTCGATCTTTGTCTCTGAAAGCTTTTTACAACTGTTTGTTGGTGTTCTGAATTTTGTAAGACTGTGTCAGCACTTGGTAGGGTGACTGTTTTCATTTTGAAGACTCCCGCCTTTTTTTAAGCTGAGCCTCCAGGCATACTTGTGCTGTTAGTGCATTTTTCGAGAACTCTTGTCCAAGGGGCTTAGTGGGTAACCTGTTGTGGGGATGTAGGATTTGTCAGTATGTAGGCGACACCTTTTTGTAATATATCTACACAGAGGGAGGCATTTGCCATCTTCCCCAGAGCCCTACACTAATGGCAGTAGATCCTGATCTTCACCTTTATTATTATTAATTTTTGTTTTCTTGCATCTCCTCCAAGTGGGAAAATTTTCATGTGATGTGTGCTTCTACTTGTGAGGATAACTCACTCTCTGGAGGACCCTTGGATTTTTCTTGGAGTGGAAAGATGGGGAAGATGGCTCTATTCACAATTGTGTCGGTTTGTCCTGTGGCTTGTGGATGCCAGGGAGTCTGGATCTGTGAAGTGAAATACTGCAAATGGCCATGCAAATGGCCATGCACATGACTTGGGCCCTTGTGAGCTTTAAGTTAAAACAACTAGAATGCTGCCACCAGAACACATTTAGAGCTATATTTAGAAACTAAAAAACAAAACCAAAAAAACCCTCTGGCTTTATACAAAAAACATGACATAATTTGTTTGCTTTTAAACATTGATTTTATTAATATGGAAATGCATACTGATTTTACCAGTTCACACTTACAGTAGCATTTCTGAAGTTTCAAGACTGTCTGGGATACAATTTGTTGAGTTTCAGAATTTAATGGAATTTTTTTGATGACAGCACTTGTTTGTCTTCTGTGCTGTCAGTGTCCTCAGGTTTCAGGGTTTCAGAACATTCTCATAAGTATATGTTCAAGGATTTTTTGGAATGTTTTGGTGCCTAGTGTTCTCCCTTTTGTTTGTCTCCAGTCTGGCATAATCTATAACTCATACAAGAACCAGATTATTAAAACAAGTGGAATGAGGCCAAGATTTTACACAGTTGCTTTTGCTTTCATGGGGGCCTGGGCATTCTGGCATATGTGGAATAGCTGCTGTGATGTGATAAAAAGTTTTGAGAATTGATAATGCAGAAACGTTGTTCTGGAGTTACAGAGAACGTTTTTGTTATTTTAGCTTTCTAATTTCTTTTCTCATAATGCCTCAAAAGTAGCTTTTACTATGAATAGAGACAGTAAAAACTGTGCTAATATATATAAAAAATCTGTACCAATATCAGTATCCTCTATGTTAAACTTTTAATCTTTTAAAAAAGTCCAATATTTCTATCCAAGTAGCTGCAGAGAATTCTTGTATAAATACATCCTTTGTATGAGTCAGATATTATACTAGCCACTCTGCCTCCGTATTCTATATAAATATGACAGAATTAATTTTTGATAACACTTGAAAACTAAGAAAAAGTTGAAGAAGGATGTAATTAATATCTGATTTTTGGTGATCCTGGGTTAGAAAGTTGCACCACTAATTTCAGACTCAATTCTTTATGTATCTCTCTATATAGTTAAAAAACATAGGTCTTACGGTGCAGTTAATTTAACACTTGCTTAGGGGGAAGAAGGCATTATTAGTCACTGACATAAATCATTGAGGTTCAAAACAGTTGTAGGTTCTGGAAGGCTGGTTGGAATAAGAGGGTTGTGTAGTTTTCATAGTACGTAATGGATGAGCAACTCAAGAATAGGAAGCCTCAGCCTCTGCAAGCAAAGTTGAATGAAACTAAAGAAAGGAGAATTCTTTAGTCGCTCCTCATTCTTTAGTAACCCTCTCAGCTAAATACATTAGTCTGAGGTGCAGCTTTTGGCAAGCATGGGGTTACTAATGTGCTGTCCCAGTGGCAAACTATTTGAAAGTAAAGAACGATTCTTTATGAATGAATAGAGCAGTTTGATTTAGCAGATGGAACCCAGACAAAAAAAGGCTTATAGGCTAGGAAATAGGCCATGTACAATTAACATTTTCTTTTCCATCAGTTCATTTCATAACCGTCTATATTTTCTTTCTAATTTGTCAAAAATACTATATGTAAGATTAATTGTATAACATTTTTGGTAAGTGTAAGGAAATATGACTTACATATTTCTTTCTTTTTAGAAAGTTTTGAGTAAAAATATATTGATTTTTTCTTGATACTTAACACAGTGTTATCCGTTTAGCTCTTTTTGAATATACAGCAATGAGAATGTTCATTCACAAACATGTGCTTGGTCATACGTGACCAGTGTATTTTAGAAATATCTTTGCCTTATAACAATACACACCCTTATATTTATATACCATTCAAATATATGTATTATATTTAACTTTGTGCTATTTTGTAAGATAAATATATATGTGTGTATATATTCCTTTTCTCTAGAAAGAATGACAGTTGCATGACTTTATCTTTACATTTAATTTACATTGCAAAGTAAATGCAGTATACTAAAAATCATGTTTTATTTTATGTGACTTCATCTATATGCCAATACTTGACAAAATTGATCAATCTAATTTTTTTCTTTTTTCGAATGAATATTTACCAAAACCAAAATTATTTATGTCTTTCTCCTGTATGTGATTTTTTTAAAGCAAAATGTGTGACATTTAAAAAAGACATTTTCTTTTATTCGTTAACATGTACTATTCATCACAAAGTAGGAGGAAAATCAGTACCAGTCCTGTCCACGTGTGGAAAATCAATTTAAATCACAGTTCTACTGGTGGTTACTTAGTGTCATCATTTCAATATTACAAAGCCTAACAGAGGGCTTTAAAGAGTGGGAGAGACATGTTTTATTAAGTTAAAAGTTGCATTTTATTTTAATATTTAAAATCCCTATGGTTTTTGTAGTCCTGTAATGATTACCTATTCCTGCACTCTTGAAGTGAACACTGTGTCCTTTGAGAAGTTAGATTTTGAAAAGTTAGAATATTGAAAACGTTGAATGTTTGTGATTTATCGGAATTCTTATAGAGCTCAGATTGTGTAGAAGGGAGGAATTAACAAATATTTATTGTGAAGCTGCTGCAGTTTCAAGTCTATGTCAAGCCTATGTCATGTATTGGGAAAATGCTGAAAAGGACACAGACCCATAAGAGTTCTACAGACCTGTTGGGAAGTAAAAATCTGGAATGCATCAAATGATGATAAACCAGCAATATGTAAAGTATATAACTACAGGGATACTATATGTTATACATTGCAGTTCTTTAAATGTAAAGAAGCATGAAGTTATAAATGGAGTTCTGAGTGGTCTTCTGATACTGAATTTTGTCTGGAGGAGAAGGGAAATGGGGGATGATTGGAAGTCTGGGTCAGTGGAAGACAGGAAGGAGATGTGTACGACTGATATTTGACTTTAAGGTCAAGGTAGTTGGATGTAGGTGGCAAGGAGGAAAAGCAGGTGGTGGCACTGGCGATGATACTAGTGAAGGAGCCTGGAACAGGGACTGATTTCTGTTTTGGATATTGTATATGTAAGGTGTTTGTGTGATGTTTATATGATGTCTGGTGGCGGTTGGCTATAATGATTTGGAATTAGAGGGAGAGATGCAGAGATTATTAAGGAGCAGGCATAAAATTATAAGATAAAGAGTTTAGGGAGACCCCTGGGGAATAATAATTGAGGGGCAGAAAGAGCTCCAGAGGCCAGGGAAGGAGATTGAAAAGGGATAGTGAATGAGGGAGGAGGAGAATAAAATTGCCAAATTATTGGTGACCTCTACCTATGCTTACTTTGTCGCCCCATGCTGTTACGTTTTTTAAAAACATTTCTATTCTATCAATTCTTATTACTTTTTTTGTGTTTTTGTTTATTATAGTTGGAAACTGTGGAGTTGTTGAACATAATTCCCCCAATCCCACCCATAAGCCCTAGATTTGGGGAAATCTGCAATATTTCTTTACTGGTTACTCCAACCATTGCAAATGGAGAAATTGGCCTTCTTAGCAATCTTCCAATTATTTTGCATGAACCAGAAGATTTTGCTGCTGAAGTGGTAAGTAGGCTCTTTCTTACTGATGGGGACTAATGAATATGAAGTAATGTACCGACACTATTTTTAAAATAGGATCAGCATAACACTGTTTTTAAAATAGGATCAGCATATAGGGTTAACAGATCTTAAACAGCTTCACCGTGTACAAGAAAGTTTCAGTATGTCATTTGAAATAGGTAACTGATGATTACGTTGTTTTCCCATCATGTTTTACATTATTAGATAGAATGAAATTAGAATTAATTGCTCACAGTGAGTGTAGGATATTTTGATGTGACAGCTTTCAGACAGTTCTATGACATTTGATACTACAGTGGTAGCCAAACATAAAGTTTTTTTTTTTTTTTTTTTTTTTGAGAGGATTTTACTGTGTCATCCAGGCTGGAGTGCAGTGGCGTGATCTCAGCTCAGTGCAACCTCTGCCTCCTGAGTAGCTGGGACTACAGATGTGTGCCACCACTCCTGGCTACTTGTTTTGTTATTATTATTTTTAGTAAAGATGGGGGTTTCGTCATGTTGCCCAGTTTAGTACCCAACTCCTGAACTCAAGTAGTCCACCTCCCTCGGCCTCCCCACATGATGGGATTACACATGTGAGGCATCGTGCCTGGCGTATAAACCTTTTCTTTCTTTTTTTTTTTTCTTAATGGCCAAGATATGGCACCACAGGTGTGCTTGACCTAATTCATTTCTGAGCATTCCATATGTTTGGGTTGGAGTGAGGTGGCCAGCTTGGGTCTTATGCTTGATGATGGAGATGATGGTGGTAAAGCTGTGGAATGCTAAATCTTAAGAATTTTTTACTTTATATATACAATATATGTAAATTTTTACATATAGACATATAAAAATTTCACATGCAGAGCACACCATCCCTCCCCTTCAACCATGCCCTGGTTGAATTTCTCTCTTAGGGAGGGCTCTTCCTTTAGCCTTACCATTTCCTGAGTCATAGTTTGTCCAAGACCTTCTCCAAATCTCCCACACTTAAATTTGATTTAAACTGAGTTGAGGTTTAGATCTGAAAGCAGGAGAGTTGTTTTCGTTATCAAAGCCTTATGTTAAAATATGGTGACCTCAATTTCCATTGTATGTTAGCATCTATAAATGGACAGAGACGTTTCATTTTTCAAGATGGTTTTGATTTTTCACGTTTTTCTGAATACACTTCTAAAAACAGGAAAGCATTTAGTTTGCTCTTAAGGAATAGATTGCTTTTATTTATCTTAGATAGCTGTAAATTTACCATTTCATATTTTTCCCTTAAGAAAAATTAGCTTTTAGGAAGTTTTGGGCTCCTTGGACCTACATTCTTCCCCTCTTGGGAAACAGCAGAAAAACTAGGAGTTTTCCTTTGTTTGTTTCAGATACAGCCTGGATGATGCCCACTCCCTCAAAGTGATTCAGGGTCCCAGCCCTCTGTTACTTCTTTTGTCTTCCCTAAGAATCTTTGCTCACTAGTCTCAGGTTATGACCATTGTTAGGTGAAGTAGCAGAATGATTAATGGTGAAAATATCTTTTTTTTCCCCAAGATGAGCTTAAAGGGCAAAGAAAAAATAAAACAGCATACTCCTCTTTTAGGAGCATAAAAGGAATAGCGTAATCTAACCATTAAATATTCCTTTATATTCTTCCTTTGAAAAAACTTCATCATGATCTGTAGTGATGCTTTTATTATATATTTTTAAAGTGTACTGCCCTTGAATGAAACCACCAAATACAATTTGTTTCAGAATTATTATAATAGCTTCCATTTATTTGACTTATACTGTAGAGAGGCACTGTTCTAGATACTTTACTTAAACAATTTGTAATCCTCACTGCAAACTTGCAAAATAGGAAATCATTAGCTTTATTTCACATGAGAAAATTAGGATCAGAGAGGTTAAGTAACTTGCTCAAGGTAACCCAGAATCATGATAAAAATATCTGATTTTATTTCTATGGTATTTATCCTACTGGTTAGAAACATTTTTTTAAAATTTTGCCCCCATCACTTAGGATGTATTTTATATGACATAATTTTCCAGTTTTAATCACTGAAGTTTATTTTTCAGTTTATATTGTGATGGTAAGTTAATTCTATCTTCAGAGAACCTCTAATGGAAATTTATTCTTTAGCAAGATAGCTCTATATTTTTCACAATTCTTTGAGTTTTAAAATATTTGTCTTTTATCAAGAAAACTCAGATTAGACACATTTTTGGGTGAGGGGTGTTTTGTATATAAATTTGGTTAGCAAAAATTAATAAAAATATATTTAAAGTTATTTTCGTGCTTGGAGGATTGTTTGTTTGTGTTTTAATGCATTTAATAGTTCACTTCTCTATATAGAATACATATGTTCACACAATAATATATGTACAAACTAATAGCAATACCAAAGCTTATATAATTTCTGAACATGCATTTTAGAAGAAGTTGTTCTGTTCTTTTATTTTTATAAGGTATACATTCCCTTACATCGGGATGGAACTGATGGCCAGGCTACTGTCTACTGGAGCTTGAAGCCCTCTGGCTTTAATTCAAAAGCAGTGACCCCAGATGATATAGGTCCCTTTAATGGCTCTGTTTTGTTTTTATCTGGGCAAAGTGACACAACAATCAACATTACTGTCAAAGGTGATGACATACCGGAAATGAATGAAACTGTAACACTTTCTCTAGACAGGTAAGAACAGAACAACCAAATGTTTAGTAACATTTATGTTTGAGTTCTCTTCAATAACTTTGATTTTTGTTTTATTCTTTTTTTCTATATAAAGTAAAAAAGAAAAATCAAGTAAATAGTGTTATACTGGCCTTCAGACTGTTCTGTTATTTGTTGATGGCTTCTGATTAGACTATAAGTATAATTATATGTTTCAGTGAATTTTTACCCTGCTATTCATTGTGAAGAAGCACTGCAGAGAGAATTTATGGAAGGTATCAGATAAATATGAAATATAGCTAATATGTTGTTATATTAAAAAAAAGGCACAAATCTAAATCTAAAACGTTAGGTTAAGCAAATGGTTCTGCTGGCTTTATGTTCAACAGAAGAGAGGACTAGAGCTTGTGAGTAAAAAGAAAGCATTAATCTTCATGTAATAAAATTCTCTTTTTTACATGGATCTTAAACATTAATTTTATGATTATTTTCCAGAGAATCAAAAATTGCACAAAATTAAGAGATCCTCTTCAGTAATAATTAATAAGAATCGATTTAGCTTTTCTCAGTGGGTAATTTATATTAAGAAAATTTCACAATCTCTCAAAGAGTTTTTTTTTCAGTAGTTCAGAAAATCCTTTCTAAATATATAAAATACTGTGTTTAATGACCTCATAATTTTAAAAAATTAGGATCAGTCTTATCCCTGACACAAGTTTCTTTATATGAAAGTTGATTCATATTAGAGAAGGTTACTGTGACTTTTGGAGGGTTTTGTGCAATTCATGTTTAGAAACAATAAAATTCACAGATAAATTCAAGGGACATTTTGTGTTACATTATTCAAGACTAAAGTAGTAAAAATTATTTTATATAATCCCTGGATGTCTCTATATCAGTGTCTTATATATTTCTCTTTGTAGGTGTTTTGTCTAAACACATTTTTAAAAATCTGATGAGTAACTGATTTTTATTTTTATGTGAAAGAAAAGTATAGAATGTAGGCAACAAATTATTGAATGTCCACTGTTCCTTTTGCTTTCTTTCAAAACCACATTGTGTTTACTTCCTTTCTTACATAAAGAGTAAAATGAAACAACAACCAAAATATCAAGCAAACAAAAAAACCAAAAAGCAAAAACCAATTTACAACACACACACACAGAGTCTAGATGACTTATGGTTTTAATGTATGTTTCAGACCTTTTCTTAAGAAAAGGTGTTTCATACGATTAAAAAAATCAGTAAAATATAATGCAGTGTAAATTGGAAATTAAAAAAAAAAAATTTTTTCCTTAAGTAAGGTGTAAGCATTCAGTGGACAATCTTGAAAACAACTAAAGAAACAGAAACAGTGATGATAAACCAATGCTGTAGGAATCCATACAAACTTTGTTAGCTTAGTTGACAGTTTCTACTCTCAACTAAATGTTTAAAGAATGATTTCGATTATCCATCTGCAAATTGATAGTGACTATTCTTTATATTATTTCAAACTATTCATTTTTAAATCTTAGGTAACATTTGAAATTAAGTATAATTTTTAAGGGTTTATTTTGTTCTTCTTTTTCTTTCTCCTATGGGTAAAAATAGTACATAAGGAAGTACAAATCATGAGGTAGAAAATTTCAGAAATTATTGGGTCTTTTCAAATAGAGGAAGTTAGTTCATATATATATTAAAATGTTTTAATTTGATTAATAATTGGTGCATACTTGTATTATCTCATTTGTGTGTGAACAAGAATGAGCAAATTACATTTGAATGTTCAAGGACATTTAGTTAAATAAAATCTAGATACCATATTTTATCAAAAACTCCCTCTTAGTTTTGCAGTTTTAATGAAACTTGAGTGAAAGAATAAATGAATGCTATCAAGTGTGATTACAATAAATCACAATACAATATTGCAATAAAAATAGTTAACAGTTTATTGTGATAACAGTTTGTAATTTTCTCTCAATGTCAAATCCGAGTTCAGATTCTCTATTTCAACTCAGTATAGACAAAAGTTGCCCTGGTACTAAAAAACCTGTGGTGCTTTCAAATACCATGCTGGTTAAAAATATTCTATTTAGTTTTCCTCAGATCACAAACAATTTCATTATGCCAGTTTATTTCAGAAAAATTTTGGTATATGTGGTATATAACCCTATATTTATAAATGGTGCATTTGATTTTGAAAATGAAACTATAGGGCTCTACATTTGACATGTGCTTTCAAGGCTGTTTGAAAATGGAATACACTGCAGATTTGGAAAAGTGTTTTGGTTTCCTGATAAAAGTTGTATTTAAGTAATATTTGACGTAATTAAAAGATATAATGATATGGCTTCTTTAGTATATTGCTGTGCAAATGATATAGGTATAGATTTCTCTAGTTACACAGTTTTGTTTTTTCTAACTCAAAGAATAACTGGCTTTAGATCTGAGAGGTTTTTATATTTTAAAAACCTAATTAAAGCTACTAAGTAATTATAAGCAGGGCTGAAAGAAATTTGTTCAGCTGCTGCGGTTTGTGAGCCTGTACAGTGCTTGGCAGGCACAAGCGCCTTGGAGGAGGCCTGGAAAGGAATGTTTTGAATGGGTCTTGACAAGCTTGCTGGCCATGGGGTCATCTTCCATAAGTGGGAACTGCTGAAGCTCTTGCTAGCATTTGTCAATAGCGAAGAATCCAGGGTGCAGAGTTCCCATAAAACCAGCATTACTTGCTCTTGGGAAAAAAAGGAAACCTTTCTTTAGCTTTATTTTTCCCTTGCCATTCTAAGTTTCTCGCAGTATTAGTGAGATTTTGGCAAATGGTGCCCTGCCTCCTGTTTTCCCCCTCCCACACTTCTTTCTGTGTTGACAGGGTAGAAACTGAAAGGTTTGTCGTGTATTTTGGGTAAGTGTACAAAATAATACCTTGTTTTTGGTGATTCAGTATTTTGTTTTGCAAGTGATTGTTTTTGGACAAGGCTGCTGTTCTGCATGATTACAGGTCTTGGGAAATTTTGCCTGTCCACCTGGCTGTGCATGCTTTGTGTGCAGTTTCATTTTCTAATGATAAGGGGAGCTTACACAAAGGTGTTTATTTATTTTTGGTCCTAAGAGTTTTGCACTGTGAATGCACTTAAAGTATTTTGAAATTTGAGAATTAGTGTAATGACATTAAGAAGAACTTAAACTTTTTAAATTTCCTTGTAGGTACACATAACGTCAAGAACAATTATTGTGCTGTACTTCTGAAATTTTTACCCAACATATTTTATGAATCTTGTAGATTGTTTAACAGAGAATTAGCAATCAATTAACTGAACGGTTCTATTGGTTTTCTGAGTGCCTCTAAGCAATTTCTTGCTTATATCTCAGAGTCGTATACAGAACTTTTCAGAATTTACATTTCACGTAAGGGTGGCATATTTTAAGAAAGTTTAAAAATAAATTTATTTAATGTTCAGAATGGATTTTTATATTTTGCATTCTGAGCCAGTTTTTTGTTTCCTAGCTTATATGGATATAATAACTTTTAATTAATGAGGATATTGATATAAACGATGGATAAATTTGCTATGAAAATCATAAGACTGTTTTAACAGTATAAAATAACTCTCCTATTATTTAGACTCTCTCTCTTCTGTGGTCACTAGCATGCTAGATATTATCAGATTTCTAAAAACTAGGGAAGGATGTCAATTCAGATTCTCTGTTAAATAGGAAGTGAGCTTTTCTTCTACATATTTCTACTTATGAATTGTGGTTTCATTGTGATTTGCGGTCTGAGCATGAATATATTTTTGGTTCAATAGGATGTGACATTTGGCAAGGTTTAGAGCAGCTTGCAGGATTGATAATTCTTAAGAGCCTGCTGGCTTTTTAACTCTCAGAATCTTGCAGTCCAAGTCCCTTTGATCATTCTAATTATGCTCTGAATGTTAAAACCAGAAATTTAAAAAACATATTGTTTTAATATGTTCTTTTGGAGATACATAGGAATTGGTATAACATGTCATGCATCTCAGATCTATTCTATTCTTTTTTTCTTATATTCCCTACATTTTCTTTTATACTAAAAGAAAAAAAGCACAGGTTGAAAATTAAGGAGAATAGAAGACAGTTGGAGCCACAACATATTCCTAAGATGTAATTACAATTGTGTTTATTTTTCATCAACGTGGCTTGCTTTAGTCCATTTAGTTATCCAGCTATTATGTGCTCTATTCAGTTAGTATGATCTTATGTAATGAGTTTTAAAAATAAATTCAAGTGTATGTAAAATTGAAACATAATTTTGTTTTAAGATATCTTCTAACTACGTGTTACAAATTAAATTTGTCTAAAACTGGAATCAAATCTGCAAATTTTGATACTTTATTTAAATAAAATATATTGATGACATTTGGTTACAGTATTCTTGGTGTACATATGTAGTGTTTGCTTTTTATCAAATAAAAAAGCTGTAATGAATTCAGAAATAGAAGTTCTTTCATAACTCTTAGGAGTAAAACTGTTTTGATCTTAAATGATTTCAACACACGTAAATTCACTTAAGGTCTAATTCCTCATAGCCTTCCTTTTCTTAATCCTGAAGAGTTGCAAATATTGCCTTAAAAGCCTGCAAAATTCAGAAGTAAAACTGGAAGTAGCAGGTGCTATTTTTCCCTCTGACTTCTCTAGGGTTAACGTGGAAAACCAAGTGCTGAAATCTGGATATACTAGCTGTGACCTAATTATTTTGGAAAATGATGATCCTGGGGGAGTTTTTGAATTTTCTCCTGCTTCCAGAGGACCCTATGTTATAAAAGTAAGTATGAAAAAAAACTTCCATTTATTCTGTGCTCACAACTTTAGAAGAATGATCTCAAAGGGTTTGAACTTTTGTGGATTTTTTTTCAAGGAAGGGGAATCTGTAGAGCTCCACATCATCCGATCGAGGGGGTCCCTTGTTAAGCAGTTTCTACACTACCGAGTAGAGCCAAGAGATAGCAATGAATTCTATGGAAACATGGGAGTACTAGAATTTAAACCTGGAGAAAGGGAGATAGTGATCACCTTGCTAGCAAGATTGGATGGGATACCAGAGGTATGGGATTTTATTTTTTCTTTGTGTTTCTCTGTAAGATTGATAGTATTTGGTATATTATGAATATAAGTATTTTGAACATTGGCAAAGAGACAGGAAAGAGGTGGGCAAGAAAAGATTGAGAAGTACATAGATTTGGAAAAATTTTAACAAAAGATTAAAAAATGAAGACTCATTCAAATTAGAATGGTGTATTTTTGCCCCACATAAAGAAATAACAAATAGTCTTAGACTTTCAGTGTGTGATCAGTTTTCATCTCCTTTTAGCTTTATTCATGTTAAGGCTTCCTTTAGGTAATATGTATTGACTGAACTTTTAATGATGTGGTTTTAAACTGAAGAAATTTTGCTATAGCATTACTTTGTTGAAAAAAAGAAATTCGAGTTTCATATTAATGGAACCAGGTATAGTTCCGTTATGCTTACACAGCAATACATGTGTAACTCTCAAATTAATTTAGTTTTATTCACTTTTGTAAGTTTAAATGACTAGATCATCAGTGATAACATCCACTTTTCTTACCATTTTAGAGTAGTATCATTGTTTCTCTTTTTCTCTTTTTGGACAATGTATACGTATTTCTGGTGTCTCTCTTAATTGATAGGAGAATGTTAATTTTAAAAGAAATAATATCACCTCTTTTGTCCTTTCAGTGAGTTATATGCTTCTGAAAATTTGAGTATATTAATAATCTTGAATATTTATGTTTTTTAATTTGTTGTGAAAATGTCAACTTTATAATTTCCATACTTTGACACATTCATTTTAGTTGGATGAACACTATTGGGTGGTCCTCAGCAGCCATGGAGACCGGGAAAGCAAGTTGGGAAGTGCCATCATTGTCAATATAACGATTCTGAAAAATGATGATCCTCATGGGATTATAGAATTTGTTTCTGATGGTCTAATTGTGATGATAAATGAAAGCAAAGGAGATGATATCTATAGTGGTAATTTATTCTGTGTCTTCTATTGTATTTCTGTTTACTGAAGAAGAAATATAATTTTTTTAGTAACTAGTTATTGACAGTTGCTCACCCTGCCTTAGAAATTATACATAGTGCAGAATATTTTAGAATCATATTTAGGACCACGATTTTTATTTCTTACATAGTATTGTGATGATACTGATGACTTCAGTTATATTTTGATACCATTTAAGCATATGCAGTGCAACTCAAACACTCAAGAATGAGTCCATCCAAATAGGAAGAACCTTAAAACTAAGAACTATTGCTAGGGAACTATTGAGCTGACAGGAAATTATAAAGTTTATTTTTAGAGCAGTGTCTGTCTGAGTAAGGAAATCACACTTGAGCATGCAGCTTCCTGTAACTGCTTTTAGCAGATATTTTTACGGGACTTTATGATAGGTGTGTCTAATTCATCATCCTTCTGTTTCCCATTCCGACTGACTTCTAAAATCCCAAACTAGAAGAGATTGAGTCCATTTATTTAATTAATTATATAGCTACAGAGGGAGGAACAGGCTAATATATTTTTATATGTACCTTAAAAACTGTGCTAAGCAAATAGTTGGCAGTTACTAAAAAGAGGTGTTGTTTTTATGTTTGTTTATTTAACAAATTTCTTTACTCATCATTTTAAAGTTTCGTATGTGTTCATATATATTATGTATGCTTCCATTTCACAGCTGTTTATGATGTAGTAAGAAATCGAGGCAACTTTGGTGATGTTACTGTATCATGGCTGGTCAGTCCAGACTTTACACAAGATGTATTTCCTGTACAAGGGACGATTGTCTTTGGAGATCAGGAATTTTCAAAAAATATTACCATTTACTCCCTTCCAGATGAGGTAAATGTTGCATATAACTTTCTGCCTTACTTGTTGTAGTTGATCAATAATTATTTTTGATTAAATAATTAAACATCTGGTAACGTATTTTGTGATAAAGAACTCAGGTGTGACAGTGTCTGACCATAAGCCAAAAGAGCAGTATTACGTTTTGGTCCCCCTGAAGACATGTTGAACTCTAGAACTGAGAGTGGTCAGTGACACTGCTCATGTATCCAGTATCAGGGCTTCTTAGTTGGAGAGGCGAAGCCCTTGGCTTGTATTTAGTCCTTTTGAAGGCAAGGTCAGCTATCAAGTGTCCTGTGGTGCAGTCTCAGCATCAGGACACGGGGTCGCATGAGTCATGGACCAAACATGGCATTTCTTCTTACTGATAGTAAAGAGAAAGATCTTAGTAACAACAGGGAGTGAACTTTTCCTAAGAGAGTGACACTTAGAACGGATATGGAGACCAGTCCCCTTTCCCTTAGACCCATTCCTCAAGAGACAAAATTCTGACACCTTTCTGTTTTAGGGGGAGGGGAGCACCAGTTCACAGAGATGACGTGAAAAAGAAACAGTGTCCACCTGGGGATCCATGTAGGCTCAGAAATGTGGGGAATCAAATCTTGTTAGGACATGGAGTGAGGCCTTTATGACCCATGCAGGTGAAACTTCAGTGAGGTTTGTAAGAGGCCTTTGTGAGCTGGCTGAGCTTTAGTTACTATGACAAACTGCTCTAAGTGTTCAAAAAGTTATTTTTATGTTTCATCTTAAAAATCAACATGTTTTCCATTTTCCTGCAGAAATAATATGACCTCTGTGGTATATCTGTTTTTAGCTTATATAAGGCAAAATATCTATATTTCCATTAAATTTCATAGTTAGTCTAAATGAAATGGCTGTTTGTATGAATGCACATGAAAATTATAGTTTGGGGGGTCTGAGTCTTACCTGAATATGTTAGGGGAAGTTCTGCCTCCGAAAAGGAAATGAATAATAGTAGTGTTAATGGTGCTTTTTTTTTAAAAAAAAATACTCAATAATTTAAGAATATATAATGTAATTTATGTGTATAAGTCACCTGACTTAAAATATGTAACATTTTCCAAAGATTCCAGAAGAAATGGAAGAATTTACCGTTCTCTTACTGAATGCCACTGGAGGAGCTAAAGTGGGAAATAGAACAACTGCAACTCTGAGAATTAGAAGAAATGATGACCCCATTTATTTTGCAGGTGGTATTGCTATCTTATTTGAATGAGTTCACATATTTATTAAACAGTATATATATATACACACACACACATATATATATGCACATGCATACATACATTTATATACATATATTTAGCAATTTTTTTCATTGAACATTTTCAATAAAGCACAATTGATGCTTGTTTAAAGATGATTTTGTAATTCATTCGAGTTACATTGTTATTTAATTTGAAGTTTTAACTAATGCTTCAAAACTTTTTGAAGCAAAAAAAAGTAAGTACTGTTTTGTTATCTTTTTCCCCATTTCAAATTTCTAGGTATTTTTTTTCTTTTGTGCAGGAAAGAACATTTCTCCATGTGATTTCTTCAAATAACACAGTCTAGCTGGTTCAGGGCTAGATTATGTATTAGAAGGACCTGAGTATTGTGCCTAATGGATAGCCATGTACTATAATAACTAAACTAATATTTGAGGGAAATATTAATTAAAATTTCTTCATTTCGCCACTTTAACGCTTTCTTTAGAACTGTCTTTGGCCACCTGAGGCATCTTTTGGTTTTGTTTATGAAATGGTTGATGTGTAACTCTTTCTTGAATCCTTTTTTTTTTTTTTTTTTGAGACGGAGTCTCGCTCTGTCGCCTGGGCTGGAGTGCAGTGTCCGGATCTCAGCTCACTGCAAGCTCCGCCTCCCGGGTTCAGGCCATTCCTCCTGCCCTCAGCCTCCTAAGTAGCTGGTACTACAGGCGCCGCCACCTCGCCCGGCTACTTTTTGTATTTTTTAGTAGAGACGGAGTTTCACCGTGTAGCCAGGATGTCCTCGATCTCTTGACCTCGTGATCCGCCCGTCTTGGCCTCCCAAAGTGCTGCGGATTACAGCTTGAGCCACCCGCGCCCGGCCCTTGAATCCTTTTCGTCAGCTATATATGGATTAATTTACCCAATGCAGGAATTTTGTAGCCTTTTGTATTTTATTGATTTGTATTATTTCTGTCTTTTTTTTTTTTTTTTTTTTTTTGAGATGGAGTATCGCTCTGTCATCAGGCTGTAGTGCAGTGGTATGATCTCGGCTCACTGCACCTTCTGCCTCCTGGGTTCGAGTGATTCTCCTGCCTCAGCTTCCTGAGTAGCTGGGACTACAGGCTGGCACCACCACTCCCAGCTAATTTTTGTATTTTTAGTAGAGACAGGTTTTCACCATGTTGGCCAGGAGGTCTTGGTCTCTTGACCTCGTGATCTGCCTGCCTCGGCCTCCCAAAGTTCTGGGATTACAGGCGTGAGCCACTGCGCCCAGCCTGATTTGTATTCTTAACCTTCAGTTAATGTGTACTTAATGAATTAACCTTATGTTCAACCTTCTGGTAACTGCTGCTACAAATATAAAACATAAGCTCTCTGGGCCTGTTCTCAAGGAAGTTACATCCTCAACTTGGAAATGAGGTTTGTGAAATAGCAGGCAGAGGATTTGAAATAGCATGCAATTTGCTGACAAATTCGATGTTGAAGATAATGGATTTTGTAGGACTTAAGGCAAGAGGACGGCCATTGACTGTTGAAGTAATCAGAGGGGACTCATGTCAGAGTTGGGAACAGAGCTAATTATTTTGGCAAAGACACAGTAGAAGGTGTCTCTCTTGGAGGGCAGGGAGAAGCACAATGTGATCTGAAAATATGTGGTGGAATCAGAAAAGCTCATGTATTTTCTTTGTCGATATTTCAGAACCTCGTGTAGTGAGGGTTCAGGAAGGTGAGACTGCCAACTTTACAGTTCTCAGAAATGGATCTGTTGATGTGACTTGCACGGTCCAGTACGCTACCATGGATGGGAAGGCTACTGCACGAGAGAGAGATTTCATTCCTGTTGAAAAAGGAGAAATGCTCATTTTTGAGGTTGGAAGTAGAGAGCAGAGCATATCCATATTTGTTAATGAAGATGGTATCCCAGAAATGGATGAGTCCTTTTATATAATCCTCTTTAATTCAACAGGTAAGTAAATTATACTTTTTTGTGTGGCATATCTGCCTCAGTGCTTTAATAAGATGAAATTAAGCACTATAGTCCAATAATGAGGACAAGTAGAGCCTAACTGTATTTGTACAGTTCAAGAGCAAAATTATTTCATTGCTTTCTTGAGAAATGGGGTGAAGAATATATGTGTTGAGCCTTTATGTATTTCATATACTTTATGACATCCTTTTTAACATTTTCTTTATAATATGGCACAAATAGAAAATTCTGATATATAAGTAAGTGAATTCTTACAGCTAAAAGTAACAGGCCTTGGGAATATGGCTTTTCTAGATATTGCCTAGTCACCCAGCGACTTAAGGGATAGGTATCCTGTAGCATTTTCCTTGGAGCAGGGTGCTGGCATACTTGGTTGGGAAGCTTAATTCTGTAGGCAGCTAACCTCAACTGTTTGATAATTCTCTGGAGCCATGGCCAAAATGAATGACAATCTGCAAGGGAAAAAGATGTGTTCGTCCTTCTTCTCCATACTATAAATGAAACAGGATGTTTTCACCCTACTCTTTGGGATTTGAGAATGTTTTGGCTCTACTTTCTGTAAATTGGAAAGGCCTATGGCTTCTCTTGATATTTATTTTATTCTTTTAACAGTACAAGGAGTTTTTTTTTCCTTGAACCTTTTGAGAGTAAACTAAAGACATGATGCGCTATCACCCTAAATACATTAGTGTGTGATCTCCCATAGAGATGCCCTCATGAGCTCTAACGTTTGCATCGGGTCGCCATGATGCCCTATCAACCTAAATATGTGTGTTCTCCCGCAGAGATGCCCTCATGAGCTCTAACGTTTGCATCGGGGCTCCGTGATGCCCTATCTGCCACCCCCAGTGTAATGCCAACGTTGTGTTCCACCTTGTGCCTTTTGGACTGAAAGACTGAGGAAGAGAAAGAGATCTCTTAATTATTGTTTTAGCTGTGTCTTTCATTCTCCCCATCTTCTTGACTTTCTTCACTGCTATCTCTCTTTCTATTCCCCTTTCTCTTTTTCTCCTTTTGTCTTTCTCTGTCTCTCATTTTTCACATAGCTTAACTAAGAAAACACAAAAGTTAAAACTAAAAACTATTATCCTGTGAGGAAAATTTGACTTTGTAGAATAAACCCACAAAGGCAGTTTCACAATTGCAAAAACCATCGTCAGCTCTTACGTAGACGAAAAACATTTGGTGAATCTGATCGTTGTTCTAAAATTTAAATGAAAGGAGTTGCTACAGATAAAAATAATTTTAGTGAAGTAAAAGTGGAAAACAAAGTTTTACTGTGAAATACAGAAAAGTGATGAAGGAATGACATTATTATTAGTAGTAGTATTTTTTAATGGAGTCTCGCTCTGTCATCAGGCTGGTGTGCAGTGGTGCAATCTTGGCTCACTGCAGCCTCCGCCTCCCAGGTTCAAGTGATTCTCCTGCGTCAGCCTCCTGAGTAGCTGGGACTACAGGCACACACCACTATGCCAAGCTAATTTTTTAATTTTTAGTAGAGACGGGTTTTCATCATGTTAACCAGGATAGTCTTGATCTCTTGACCCTGTGATCCACCCGCCTCAGCCTCACAAAGTGCTGGGATTACAGGTGTGAAAAATGATATTACCTTAATAGAATTTATTTACTCTAGAAATAAGTTCTTGATGATGTATATTAACTTAATATGATTCTGGTAAACATTTTTGTCTCAAAAATATCACTGTGGTTAAATTATCATTAGGAAAAAAAACACCAAATATGGTTAAATAGTGAATGAATCAAAACATCCTGAACCTTTTGTAAAGAGTAGGGGAATTGACTTTTTTTTTTCTTTTGAGATGAAGTCTCACTCTGTTGCCCAGGCTGGAGTGCAGTGGTGTGATCTCAGCTCACTGCAACCCCTGCCTCCTAGGTTCAAGCGATTCTCCTGCCTCAGCCTCCTCAGTAGCTGGGACTACAGGCTGGCACCACCACACCCAGCTAATGTTTGTATTTTTAGTAGAGATGGGGTTTCGTCATGTTGGCCAGGCTGGTCTAGAATTCCTGACCTCAAGCAATCCGCCTGCCTGGGCCCCCCAAGGATGCTGGGATTATAGGCGTGAGCCACTGTGGCTGGCTAGAAATTGACGCTTGAAAAAGAGGTTTAGTTTATTTTGTGAACTATGTCATTGGAAAAAAATATATATTAACATTTGATTTTGAGAGAAAGAGGGAGGGAGAACACAAAGTGTGATTGGGTTGCTGGCCTGAGGTATGTGTACTACTTCATACTGCTGCTGCATTTGTCTTTAATATTTTTCCAGAAATGATGGTATTTGAGAATCCAATTACTTTAGTTAAGAAGGCTCAGATGACAAAAATCCCTAGAACTTGTGATTTTTAAATACATCCTTTCTTAGCTCTTTCCTCCTTTTCTTTCCTCCTTTATGATGTTGAAACATCAAGGACTGGTGGGACCCATGATGGGACACTGTAGAGGCAGCATTTCTGACATGACCTAGTGCTGGCAGTGGCTGTTTATCCTGATACTTATCATTTAGAGCATGTGCTCTGATATTGGGTCAAAGGATATGGCCATCCTTCAAGGCCTTGTTAAATATTGCCAGTTCATCTTGCAGAGAAACAGAATGAATTTTCAGCACCACTAGGACATGTTGCATTACAAATGCACATGATAATAGAACCCTGCCAAAATTAGGTTTTATTATTTTTTATTCATTTTTGTTAGATTTTATTATATGCTCTTTATTTATTGTCAGCATTTTCTACACAATGATTTGCTATTTTTATGTCTTTTTTTCCATTGAATTATCAAGTGAAGTTGAGTACAGTTGTATATTTGTATAATTTTTTTTGATGAGCTGATTTGCTATATATAATTTGTTTCTGTAATTTTAGCTGTAGGTGTTGTTGTATATATCTATTTTTGAAAGTGTTAGTTGCATCAGTTCAGCAATAAATACATTCTGTACAACAGTTACTGAGCATCTATTTTTCT